GATAATACATGGGAAGATGATTTCCAAACAGTAAAGGATTAAATGTAAATGATAATTATACTTTACATACATTTTAACATAGAAGATAAAAAGCAATGGGAAACAAATGACATGGGTTACATTTGAATTTTACCAATTTGGAGCTGGGTGACCTTGATTAAACAACCTAACTTTTCTTTGCCCCAGATTCTTCATTTTCAAAATGAGAATGATGACAGAAATTACCTCCTAGGACTGTATAATAAGGATTCAATTTGTCAATATTTGTAAAGGACATAGACCTGGGCAGGAAGATTAGCATTAGCTCACCTTAGTTTTATCTTTTCTTACCAAAACAGATATTGTCCAAAACATTGATAATTTCTCAACTTGAGCAGTAAAGATACTGCTCTGTCATAAAGATGAATTAAAGCTATTTTCTTTCCTGTTTTGAGAGATGACCAAACAAATATATAACATGTAGTAGTAATTCAGTTGTTGAATAAAGCACCAAAAGTGAATTTGGTGTATAAAGGAATTTGTAAATTATTAGAAAGTAACTGTTCGTACTGCTTTTGCCAACCTATTTTAACTGACAATCTGGCAGAGAAAAGCAAATGAAAGTACAGCAACTGTTTGGGATAAAATCCATGGAGAAAATGTCTTCTGCTTGTCAAGCTCACAGTGTCAGAGCCCAGTGAGCTCACATTGACCAAGCTCTGCGTGAAGGGCCTGATCTCGGCGGGATGAGGTATGGGCAGAGCTGGCCTCCTCTGTGTTCCCAACAGACCTGGACATTGACAATATTCCATTAATGAAAGTTGGTTTGTCATTACAATATCATGATTAATCATTCATTTCAAGTAGATCTCTGGCCTTTGTTAAATACATTATGTCCGGGAATGAACGATGATATATATGAATCATAGGGTGTTTTCCTGTTTGGGGAAGTCTGAATTTTACAGCTTGGGGTGAGATGGGGCTTGATTTGAATGGATATTTTCCTGTTTGTTCTAAAGTTTTACATTATTATCACATCATTCTTGAGTCTTAAAGTAGCTCAGTTAGGTAGGTACTGGTAGTATCATTATCATTGATCTATTTTGAAAATATGTTTTAGACATATTGAATAACTTGTCCAGTAGCACACAGCTAGTGGTGATTAAGACAACAACAAATACATGGCAGGAACTATGAGCTTGTTGAAGGTAAGGAAGAAGAGATGGAATGTAGACAGTCCCACTGGTAACTGAAACAAAACTTTGAAGACAATTTGTGATCAACACAAGGTTTCCGGTGAATGTGTACAAGAGCCCTAATAATTTAATTTGGGAGTTGGAAGATTTGGCATATGAGTAAGGGAAAGAAAAGTGAATGTATTTTTTTTCCTTTTAAAATAAGGAGATGATTAGTTTTTTATTAGTGTTTTATTAGTTTGACTGGAGGCCAGAAATATAATTATATAATTACAGTTTTGATGTGTATATGGCAACTTTCTCCAAAGTAATTAAAACTGCTTCCATCATGATATTTAGAATTATAAAGGGAAATTCCCAAGTTGTTCAAAGAAATACTGAAAATCAAAGTATTGTTATCCCTGAGATATTATCCTTTAAAATAATCTGATTTTTTAAAACTAAATCCTAAATAGGTTGATTTGACCTCATTGACCCCCAAAGGCAAAGATATTGGAAAAATCCTAGTAACCATGGAGGGAAACTTATGGAAATTTTAGCGACTCTGGAAAGAAAGTTATGGATTTCTGGATATAAAAAAAAAATTAGCTTAAAACTATTTTTTAGCTCTGTACATAGCTTCTGAGCTTAAGAGCTAGGTACATAGGTTCTAGATTACTTCTCCAATTTCTCTATATTTACCTCTTCTCATTGGGGAAATGGAGTAAATGATGCAGATGATGACTAAAAAGGACTAAACAGCCAAAAAGCACTCTGACTAGCTGCAGGAGAACAAGGAAAAACATAAAGTCTTTGTTGTCTAATTGAATTGAATACACCACATTCTTTTAATAGACATCTAAAGACAGGACTAATGTTCTCAGAAAGCTGGCATTTATTGCTTTTGTTTTATTCCTTAAATGCCTAACTTGACACAGTCTTTGAAGACAGAGAGAAGAACTTCAAACAGCAACTGCTCTCTGCTTTTCATGTCTTCCCCCATTATTTTCTTCTATACTGTGTCACTACATTCATTACCTTCTGTATCAAAAATATCATTTTTCATAAACCTACAGAAAAAAAAGTCAACAGTTCCAAAGATTACAGTGCATGTCTCTTCAGGTCATTTTTTCTTTCTTTTTTTTTTTTTTTTTTAGCTGGTGAGTAGGATAGGATTGCAATTTGGGGGAATATGACAGTGAGTTTATTTTTCCTTTTATACTATTTTCTTTACAGTATATATGTCTATTATATATCTACATTTATATATCTATCTCATCTCAAACTTTTATACCTGAAGAACTTGTTAAAAACTCAAATTCCTAGGCTCTGCTCATAGAGATTCTGTTTCAGGTTCTGAAAATCCATCAGGAATCTGAATTTGAAAAAAAAAAAATCACCTCAGAAAAAATCATGCATTTTTTTTTTAAATTATCATCATCTCTTCATTCATTTGGCATTTTCCAGTTTTCAAAATGCTTGCGCATACAATCAGTTCTGTGTGGTAGATGGAAATGATTATCCCCATTTGGAGGATAAAAAAGAGATTCAGAGTTCATTGTGATTACCTCAAGGCCTCACTATATCCCCCTGCCCTTTATCCATTTCTCTGGATTCCTTGCCTTAACTGACCTTTTCTGTTTGGGTATTGAAATACAAAAGGCAAGGAGCACTTAAAGCCAGGCAGCCAGATCTGTGCCTGCCTTCTTCAAGAATGCTAGTCAAGGAAGGAAAGCAATTTATTTATAGAATGTGAATATTCCCTGATTGATAGTGTTAGCAATTGATTTAATTTTAAGTAATTCCCCTTGTCCCATCCATGCACTTTTGAAAATGCTTCACTTTTGGAAAAGACCTGTGTGTGTGTGTGTGTATCTTTTTTGGCTCTCCTGTTCTATATTGTTAGAATCCCAGGTTCACTGTCCTTATTCAGCCACAATGATCTGCTGGAAGGGATGTGTCCTCCCCATCTGCAGTAGGCATTTCCCTGCCTCTGAGGCACCTCCCCTGTGTAATCTTCCTAATTGTCTGCCCTATGAGCACTGTCAGTGTTATGCCTGGAGGCAGCATGCAATGTCCAAGCCTCCAGCACAGTAGGATTACTCTGTGTAGATATAGGACTTGGTCTAAACAACCTACCAGACTGCAATCCTTCTCATTGCTAAGTGAATTTCTGCTAGGCTCACAGGCTTGTGTCCACATCTAGAAAGTTCTTGGGGCATCTCCAATCTTCACATTCATTCTCAGTAGCTTCCAGTGTTTGCTTTTTTTTTTTTTTTTTTTTTTTTTTTTGCCTTCCATTAGGGTATTTCCATCCTATACCTGTCTCTACTTGGAAATCATCCTTTTAACCTTATGACCCTACCCTTGAAGTTTAGTGAAGTGTCCCTGAAGGGAAGGAATTAGGTTATTTCAATACAAGTTGAAGAGATCTGTAAATGTAAGGAATGAACAGTCACTTCCAGGCCTTAGTGTGAATGGAAGGTGATTACTCCTTTTATGTTTCCAAAACCTTTCATGCTGCATTTTAACTTGGATGACAGTATCTTCAGTGCTGAGTTTTCTGTAACATCCAGCTGTCATCATAAATACTCCTGGAGACCTTACTGCAATTTAGGGTGTTAGTTGACTGTCCTTGTCACTGTCACTCTCACACCACCTCTATTCTCCAATCTGTGCAGGGTGCTCACTTAGCCCCTCATTGAGCCTGCTAGGCAGTTTTCCAGACAGAACCAAGAAATCTGGGTTCCAAGGATGCCGAAACACTTGCCCCAAAATAAGCTGATGGTGGGGCCCAACATAGGACCCAAGAGGCCATTGTTACTTTCCCCAGTGCCCACTGCCTTCCTCCCTAAACAGAATCCTAAGTGCTTCAGTTTATTCCAGTGAAGGTGGACAGCTTCCTCTCAGCATGCCTCACCCCCTCCCATCTCACCCCGTCCCTTCTTTGTGCACCCAGATTCCTTTAACCGGTTGGTAGTTGTGTTTTCTCTTTTCCCTGGGGGGAGGGACGGGACAGAGCAGACCCGAGCTGCAGTTCCCTCACTCTGCCTCTGAGAATTTCTCATCCAAACCTCAATCACGTAGGATTGCGTAGAGAGGAGAAAAGGGGAGAGACAGAAGACAGAGAAGGGGGAGAGGGGTGACGGGAGGGAGGGAGGAGAAGGGACTCTGGGAGCAGAGGGCGCGAGGGAGGGCAGGAGGACCCGAGTGCGCTGCGCTACCCTAGCTCCAGAAGCCGGGCCCCCAGCCTGGCCCCACCTGGGCGCTCCCGAGCTCCTGGGCAGGTGGGCTGGCGCTGAAGGAGGCACCACGTCGACCGCCGGCTCTACGTCCCACCCGCCTTCTCGGAGGCTGTCTTCCCTGTTTGGAGTTCCCTGCGGAGCGGGCGCTCCAGTCGAGCGAGTCGACCCGGCGGCGGCGGCGACGGTGGTGGAGGTGCCCGGGAGCCGGTGCGGCTCGGCGCGCCCCGCGCCTCAGCCCATGAATGGGACGCCGCCCTGAGCGCCCCCTCCGGGGCGGGGAGGCGGTGGCGCGGCGACTGGGGGCGCCCCAGTAGCCAGCGTTTCGGAGCCGCCACCCGCGTAGCAAGTTGGGCGAGTTGACGGCAGCCCGCACCTGCTTCCCGGCCCTGGCTCCAGAGTCAGCGTCCGGCCCCGAGGGCCCGGGTTGCGCACTCGGCTGCTTCCCGCCGTCGCCCCGGGCGGCCTAGGGGCCCCGCCCGCGCCCCGGCGCCAGACCATGGTGGGCAGCTCCGGCCGAGAGCCACAGCCTCCTCGGACCGACGTCTGCAGCCAGCACCCGCCCCGCCCGAGCCGAAGCGCGGGTGTTTGCAGCGCGCGGGTGACTTGCGTCCTCGGCCGGGATGGGCCGCGCAGAACTGAGTGATCGGCCTTGCGTCGGGCGGGCGATCCCCATCTGATCTGCCGCCTGCGACCTGTCGACTGCCGGGCCGCGCGAGCCTGGGGGGCCCAGGCAGCGCGGCGATGACCTGATCCCGAGCCCGCCAGGGCGCCCCTCCTTCCCTCGCTCGCTCTGAGCCTGTGCGGAGACCGGCGCGGCGCGGCGGCCCCGGGCGCACCATGGCGGGGAGCTCCAGTTAAAGGCGTGTGGGCGCCGAGCTGGAGAGGACACCTTCGGCATCGCTGCCTTTTGAGGGGGCTTATTTAAACTACTGAGTCATTCCAGATTTAGGATTCCCTAAATAATCACCAACTGTGCCCGTCTCGTGCCAGAAAGCCAGCGGGAAGAGAAAGAGCGCCCGCTCTGGGACCGCGCGTATCCTTGGCGCTCGCCTCTCGCGGGTTTCTCCCCGAGGGGTGCTTGGCCCTCGAGGATCTCCCTCCCTCCCTCCCCCACACTCTCCCTCCCCCCACCACCCCGGACCTTGCCTCCCGCTCTCTTTGCAGCGCTACTGGCGGGGAGTCGCGCTCGACGCAGCTGGAAACAGCTGCCCCCGCCCGGCTCCCCAGCTCCGACTCCTGCTAACCGCTCCCACTTCGCGCCTCTCGGAATTCCAGAACTCGGGCGGCGGGCCCCGGGAGAGCCGCAGCCGGTGCGATGCATTCCGTAGACCTCACTCAGCCGGGACGGAACTCCTAATCTCCAGAACTGCGGGCTGCAGGGAGTTAAATTGCTGCCTTCCTCTCCTTCTGTCTAGCGGTTGGTGGCTTATTTTCTAAAGGAACGTTTTATTCACTTTTTAGTATTTTCTACCGGGGGCACGCTACCCGCCTCGGTTGAGACTCTGCTTTGTAAACGGGTTTTCTATGTATGTGTAGATATACTTTGGACACCTGACAACGCTTGCGCCTCTCCACCGGGGGCACGGCTTGTTGTTCTGGACATCCTTCTACCCCTTCCACTTGGTACTCCGAGCGCTGTGTGACCCAACTCCCCACTGCCCCTGGACGCGGATCGCCTTGGGGTGCAAGAGTCTAGTTAGCTGGAAGGCCTGGGACCGCCCCGCCCCCAAACGCCAGCGGTTGGGGAAGTTTACATCTGGATTTTCACACATTTTGTCGCCACTGCCCAGACTCTGAGTAACCTTGTGGGCGCCGGGTTTTCGGTACTGCAGCCTCCTCAAATATTAGCACTGCCTCCCGGCGCCTGCCCTGTCCCTTCAGGCCGCCGAGGTCCTGCCCTCGCCCCGGCGGAGCACGATACCGAGGGCGCAGTGGAGCCCGGGGCCCCGGGCCCGCGCTGAGCAGCTATGGCTGCGGCGATAGCCAGCTCCTTGATCCGACAGAAGCGACAGGCGAGGGAGTCCAACAGCGACCGGGTGTCGGCCTCCAAGCGCCGCTCCAGCCCCAGCAAAGACGGGCGCTCCCTGTGCGAGAGGCACGTCCTCGGGGTATTCAGCAAAGTGCGCTTCTGCAGCGGTCGCAAGAGGCCAGTGAGGCGGAGACCAGGTCAGTAGAAGCCCAGGCCATGGGGTCCTCAGAGATCGACTCCTCCCTCCCCTCTTCAAAGTACCTGGGGGCACCCATGCGAGGGAAGGAGAAACTCCCTCTTCCATTCTGGGCCACCTTCTCCCCTAATTTTCAGACATCTCTCACTCAGTAATCTTCTATCAGTTAATAGCTTTTTGTCCCATATTCAGGAAAACACAACACCCTGATGAATCCACGTTTTGTGTAGGATGTGTGTTACATGTATAGGTGTTCTTGGTTCCAAATAGCCTGTAGAGTCCTTGACCACCTCATTCATCCTCAATAGTTCTCTCTCTTTCCAATCCATCCATCCATCCGTGGATTTCTTATACTGCCTACTCGGGACCTAACTATGAACATTTTTTTTTTTCTATCCCTCGTATCATTTATCATAGTTTTGGACACATACATTTCGTAGACACCAGAGGAACTTAAATTTTTCTCTTTTTCTAACTCTTGCTCCAGCAACACATGATATGCATCTTTCAGACATTGGATCAATTTCTCACCTCTCCATTTCCCCATATGCTCTTTCACTTCTTTCTACATATACTGCCCTAGTCTCAGTCTTCAACAATTGTCATGGTTTCCAAGGACTCTGCTCATTAACTTTTCTTTCCTTTGTACACTCACGCTTCCTTTTGGGACATCAAGAGACTGATAGTATCTGCAGTTTGGGACCAAGGAATGTAATAAGAACTTCAAACTTTTCAGAGATTTTCCTGGCAAGGCTTAGATGAAGCTGATTCTCTTCCCTAAACTCTACTGGTTCATCTTTGATGTTTTTCTGTTTGCAAAGGGAAATTGGCTACCATGAGTTTCAGAGTGATTATTCCCAGCTCAAGCCAGGTCAGTGTCCCAGCTTGAGAGAATGAAAGCAGTACTGCTGAGATCTGTGCTTCACCAGACTATCAGTCCTCTGGATGGACCAGCAGGGTCATTTATACTCTGTAGATCCTCTATCCTTACTGTGGATAATTTGAAGGAAATACTGTCTAGAAAGAAAGTCTACTTTGTGATCAGTGGGTTGAGGTTGTTGATTTTGCAACCCTGACTGTTATCTTTCTGGGTTCCAGGAATGAGGCGTGTGGGTTAGAGTCATTGGGTGAGGAAAACGTGGGAATTCTGGATAAGGAAGCTCAGAATTAGTTTAGAAATTTGAGATTAAGCCTTACAAAGAAGTCATGTCATCTCATTTTTCCATTGGGTTTTTGTGACTTTGTTCACTCTGTAATGTTCTAATTTTCTTATTCTGTGATGTTCAGGAAAAACTAAATTCAGGAATAATAAAAAAATAATTACGATCCCAAGGCAGGAGTCACTAAAGTCTCTGTTATCTTACATGTTATTAGTATCTTACATAAATCTTCTGTTTATGAAATGCACAAGTTATGTTATTAGCATAACTTGTGCATTTCATAAAGTGAAGATTTATGCAGAAACTATAGTTATTTAATAAAACAGTAAATAATTCATTTTAGGGGAAAATAGAAATGTCATGTATTATTGTACAGAGATCATTTGTAGGCCATCTCCTCTCAGGACTTGTGTGGTCTACAGGAAACATCAAGGCTCTGAATTAAACGTGACTCTTAATCCCCAGTCTCTGAAATGTCTTCTTGTGCTGCAGTTGGTTAAATTATATGATTCTGTGACTAGATACTACTCAGGTCCTCAATTAAAAGCAAGGCAATACAAATAACAGGAAGAATATATTTGTGAATGGATAAGATAAACCCACCTGATCTTTGTTGAAGCTGATTTGGAGACAGGGAAAGCTTGGACTGAGTGCATTGCTTCCTGCGGGCCTTTCCTTAGCACCTCATTAGAAAACAGATTTTATTGTTTTCTTCAGTGTTCATTTAATTTACTCTGCTTTTTCATCTATTTAGTATATATACCTCTTTGCAGAAAGGATCCTGATGGGTAACTTCCCTTAGCGAAAGTGTCAAAGTAACAATCTGGCAGGAGATGACAGGACTTGTTAAGACATGCCCAGTGCAAGGGCAACACCTGTATATCTGTACACTGTGGACTTGAGTTTGTTCTGATGCTCAGCTTAAAAGAATAGAAGTGTGGGGTATTGAAAAGCTTTTAGGAAGATGATAGCATGCTATTATCATTACTAACAAAGCCAAATAATTAATCGGTTGATTTGCTGTCAGCAACCATGATTCACATAGCATGGGATGAGCCTATTTATAGAGAGATAGCACCTTCCACATCTCAATTCCAGAGAGGATTCTTTAGCTGGATTGGGAGGAAGTTGCAAAACATCAAAAAGAAAAAACTATTTGAGAGAATCTGTTTTATAAGCGCTTTGATGTTATGTTCGCTTAATATTTGAGTTACTCTTAAAAATCACTGGCCCTTCTTTGGTGTAATCCTTGTGAACTACAAGCTGGATCACACTTGGTGAAGTGGTGACATAATTCCTTGTACTGATAAAGAATTACCACCACCAAGACACATTCCCCCATTGACCAGACTTTCCAGTGGAGTGAGGCTGAGACAGTAAAGCTAAGCCAAGTATTGGATGGGAAGAAGGTCACGGTTATATTCTGATTTCAGGGCTGACACATTGAGTGTCTCTCAATTTCTTGTGTTAGCTCACCAAGTGCCGAGGTGTATAATGTTGAAACTTTATAAACACAATGGGAATATAGAAATTACAGGGTAATGGACTCAGGTTTCAAATACCCTGATATTTCAGAGTGAAAATGTAAGAACTAGTAGGGCAAGACCTCGCATCCTGCCAGTCCAGGGCTGTGATGCAAATCAGATGCTTTTTGAACCTCATCCCTGGAGCACAGTGTCATGGCTTACCCTGGGATTGTGCAGTGAAATCTTTACTTGGGTGAGAAATCCTAGAACTAGAGCAAGTGGGTGATTCATGCAAGCTTGCACAGCTCGACTGTGGCAAAACTGGGACCAGCACTAGACTCAACGGATTTTTCATGCCTGTGCTTGTCACAACAGAACACTGGAAAAAGTAGAATGAAGAACGGGGTATTTTGTCAAAGGATAGAAATGATTTCTTTATTTATAGCATTCGATATTGGTATTATTATTCTTAATATTTTATAACTAGAATAGGAGTAAATGAATGGAGGTAACTGGTTGAAGGAGGTTAGTAGAGGCTAAGTCAAGCAATTGGAGTTCTAAAATTACTGATTTATAGCAAGCATACGTTATAGGAATAAATCCAATAGTGAGGACATAGAGACAGCACAGGAATAGTTGGTCCCTTAGGGGTTATATAGCTCTGGATATGAAATACTGGAGATGTTGAACTGATAAGTTGACTGAGGTCATTGAACCATAAGAAAACCTTGAGAATATTTCTGTTGGAGTACCTTCTCATGAGGAAAGGAGCATTCTTAGTGGCATTATTTGAGTTATTAGGTGTGAAATACCTGCATGAGCCAGGCCTTCTAGAGTATTTGCTTAAATGTTGATGTCACTTAATTTGCTATAGCTAAGCTGTTTGTATATACATGTGCATTACATGGCTTCTTCATTTCCAACATTTGTTTTAGTTTGAATAGAAATACCTGTATCAATGATTGACTCCAAAATAATTTATGTTTTGACTCAGAAGTTACTGCAGGTAATGGATATCATTCCTGATCAAGAAAGGAAAGGTGTTAATAGAATCTTTGGATGTTGAGGTAGCTGTGAACCTTGGAAGTCATATTGTAACTCTCACTTTTCAAATAAGAGCCTCTCTGGAAACTGCAGATTAATTAGATAAGTCAAAATCTATGTACTTCAAGTTATTTTGCGTCATTATTTTTCTGTATAATTTAATTCCTTCCAACAAACCAGAAAATTTAAAAAAATCAGCAATTAAACATAATTTCTCTTCTAAAAGATATTAGTTTTCATAACTTAAGTATTTGGTTTTACATGCCCCTCTCTTTTTCAAAATGATGTAGTATATTTACACTGACTGGATAAAATAAACCAGTGAAGTGATTTTAATTTTATATACTATTGTTGCTTTTCATTTGTCTTTTTTTTTTTCAGAGTACTATTTCTGCTGTTATAAATTGTGGTTATTAAGAACATTTTAGTATTTTTCCACCTCATTTTGGTAGATGGATAGTATTTAATAACACATGCATTCAACATTTTACTATTAAGCATACCCTTTTAGGTAGATGAAGAAAACATCACAGAAAATACAAACTTCAAGAAGATAATGGTCAAAAAAAGGGAAAATGTTTAATCGTGTGGTCTTTGGATTATTAATTAGATTGATAAATTGAAATAATTTTGATTAATATATTGATCAAGAACAGATAGATCCATATGCTAGGTATATTATACCTTTATAGTAATTACTTTTTTTGTATTTTTTCTTCTAAAAATTTGGCTCATGTCTACAAATCAGCCTAATTAAATGATATTTGGTGTGATGTCTGTGAAACAAAAAAAAAAAGTTTTTTTCTTCAGAAACTCACCCTAGGGTTTAAACTAATATTTTATACCTGTGATTTTTTTTTTAGTTCCATTTCTCTACAGCAGTGCATTCTCATCAACAAATTATGTTTCCATTGTAAGAACATTTTATAATAGCAGATACTGTGATCTCTTGATTTTTTTTTCCCATCCCACAGAGATCTCATCAAGTCATAACTCAGGATTAAGTCTTTAACGTTTTAATGAAGTTGGTATTCATGAACAGAACAAGAAAAATTAATTCCAGGAAACGAGGCAGTCTCTGTAGTAGAGGAATATTTTGGAAGAGCTTTAGAAACTAAAGCTTTGTTTCATAAAATTATATTTAAAAGGAAATACTGGACTTACTGGTAATATGGCGTCCCATTGCTTTAATTTTCACAGAGAGCACATTTATGTGTGAATTTCACAGGATAGATTTGGTTTGGGAAATTTGTTAGTAGGGATGCATTTTTTTTTCTTGTCTCTTTTCCTTGAATGCTTCATTATAATTTATGTCTTCCATCTAGAGTTAG